TAGTTCAGTGAAAAATACATTCTAACTTCAAAATACATATTATTTTCAAGCAAGAAAATTTAATTACTTCTTTAGTCGATGATTAAATCGGTATTTTTTCCGTTTGTGCAGAACGGTAGCTGCCGTTGTCCATGACGACAACACTGTTTGGTCGAACATGGAGAAGCAATTTTTTAGAAAAAAATTGTTCAAAGATGTTTGGTGTCATGTTTTCGTGGTAGTCAACCTTTACTTCTTTGACATTTTTTAAAGAAAGCAACAAAGCGTTATTTACCCAACAAGCTTCAGAGCCGCTATGTAGTATGATAATTCGTTTGCCCGCGAAATTGTCACATCCAACCAACATTTCCTGCTGTTACCATCAGTCTATCCTTTCTTGAAGGTATCGTAGCTATCAAACAAGGTCTCATTTAAATATATGATGGGGACGTTTTTAGCATGAATTTCTTCGATTTCTCTCAAATGTTTTGTCCTCCACTCCGAAACTCTTCTTGATTCCATCAAAACTTATCTTTTATTGATGTTTTTGTAATACAAACCAATTCTTCGCTCGAACGTACGCAAAGGAAAATATTTTAGAGTCATTATGTTAAACCCTTAAATTGGAAATCAATTTTGCTTTCTAATGTGTTTTTAATATAAGAGATCAACCTACCTAATGGGCAAATTCTACTTGAAATCGAGCTGCCTCAAGTAAGGACTGTTTTAGAAATATTTATATATAACATGAACAGCACAACAGTCTACACAGCACAGCACGTACTGAAAAGGATGGTCTCTTCCGCTTTACAACAGGCGGGTCTTAAACTCATTCCGAAAGCAAAACCATAAAAGGTTGTAAAAACGGTATATCTTTGGGCGAACTCTAGTCGCATTGGCTACTTGGAGTAAATGGAACACACACCAGAACAATTTTCTAATAGAAAAGAATATTTTTCATTTTATTATCAGGAGCCGCAAATGATATTAACATTTTTGATACTTTTTATTAAAAAGCACGCTTTGAAAGACATACCGGCAACTCGCACAGTAGTATTAGGAGACGGTGTTAACGTCTACATAGTTATTAACACCTTGATTCCTATCTACCTCTCTTGAGTTCAAAATAAAAGTGTCCGTGTTTTTTTCTAAGTTATTTTAATATTTGCCCATAAATTTGAATGAACAGGAATACAGTTTTGATTAACTATTATTTATAAATCTGTACTTTTGTCAAACGGTTCGAACACTTTTTACTCACAGGTCATAAAATTAAAAAATAGCTATTTTGAACAAAGCTTTTTCCACAAAACATTAGTCACTCTTTTGAAACGCCTTTTAATTAATTCTGCTAACGATTGTGGATCGCCACCGTACGCCTGTTGAATGACACAAACGTTTTTTTAATCGCAGTTGATAAACAAGTCCTCTATATTGGGTTTCGAAAGCTTTCTATTCTAAAAGGTTTTAATTTAATCCGAATATTTTTTCATCCACGTACCGGTTCATTTCGAAGTTCGTTAGAACGCTTTTTCGTTAAACAATTACAATTACAAAATTTTGTAAACCTTCAATCTACCATGTAAAATAACCATATTTTAATGAACCTCCCTAAGTAAAGCAAAACGGAATTCGGCAACAAATTGAAAAATGGATGGCGTTTCAAGCTATTGAAATTTGATTTTAAGACTCTTTCATATGTATCTTTTGAAATTCAAATCCCTGTTTCAACTCACTCACTACAATCGGTCACGCGTTCAAAGGAAATTAGGTTTATTTCTGTAAATAAGTCTAATAAAATGATGCTTTAAAATGCCATGATAATTCAAATCTGTGAATTTTGTCACAATTGATTGATTGATTGTACTTTATTTTTATTTATTTTATACATTAGATACAATATTTTTTAATTGCGTTTATTCGGTAAATTATAATTAAGACATGAAATGATCAACAACAATGTTTACGAATCGTGTAGTAGCGTCGTCCTTTTCTTGAGCATTAGCCGGGGGTAAAAGCAAATATATCTTATCTCCGTCATTTATCTGTTCTATTTTTTTGATGAATCATGTACACTGATTTCCATAGCTTACATACAGCAGGTATGGGCAAAATAAGCAATAATGTCGTAATCGGAGAGATCAATTCCATGATGTTTGAGATTGGAATTCAAATAAAAACTTCGCTATTTCCCAAAAAATAAAGAATTTAATTTTGTCTACTAAGCCAAAGTCCCGACCTTTTGGGTCCAAGTAACGTCAATAGGGGTGTCACTTCAAACAACAAATGTCCCTTCCGAAAGTGCAAAGTATAAAAGTCCGTAAAGTTTTACAACTCTGCATTTCCGATCGCTTTTTACGATTCGTGCGATATCCGGATCCTAAAATGTGTTTGGTCTCGAAGTTTATATCGCGTCAGTGCATTCTTTATCTATTTGCTCGCTATGAAAAGTTTAGAATAACATAATTTCGCACGTGTGTGGTGTGAATGTGCAAAATTTTGATATTACGTCGTAAAATGTGCACTATTCGTTATTTATTTTTGAGTTTCATTTGAAATATGGCATCGTCCCAGTTTTCTTCGGAAAGTTGGTAAACCCTTTCTTCTGTTTTAACGGCAAAAGTCTGCTTTTTGTTTTTCGCACTTATTGCTTGGAACTGTCATTCCACCAATTGACAACTAATTATGTTGGGTTAAAGTGTTTATTTTAAATATGCATGCATGATTTACATGTTTCAGAAGTCTCCTTTTACTTTTGAATTTTAGGATTGTCTGCATGAGGGGCGTCTTTATTAAGCATTTTGGTGGATCTTCTTTGAATTTTTTTTTAGCAGGGGGCGTCCAGGGTGCGTGGTAGTACTCAGGTTTTGATTAGTCTAATGAAAGCCAGAAAGTCACACTTTTCTTATGTGTTGCTAAAGGCTCTTCCAATATTTTCGTACTTCTTGGAACATCTATTTTTGCGTTGGGTAAGGTCAAAAAACAATAACAAGTATTTCTGAAAAAGATTTGTATTTGCGTCATCGAGTTTGAGGATATATTAGTCTATCTAACACTTGCCATTTTAAGTTAATGATTTTCCAAGTGCCTTTGGTAGTTTCTTCTTAAATTTCTTTTAAAGTGGAGAATCATATATTTGCCATTTAATCAACAATATACCTATACAATGCAAGGCCACTGTGGGCACCCCGGTCTTTATATTTTCTACAGATGCGAAAACAAAAATAGGAAAATGCTGGTTGGAACAAAAATTTAGCAAATATTCTCTCTTCTCCAAAATGGGAAGTTTTAATACGTTTTAAAGTCGATTACTTTTTTTCCTATTCTTTCCGTTTTCGTGTTAGCAAATATTTGCCCCGGAAACTGTTATTTAATTAAATTTTATAAGTCTATGTTCACGCCGTATCTCAATTACAATTTCGCTGACATCCAACAAACACCTTATTTGTTTTCCTAGCAAACAATCCGGATATATTTACCCGTCTCGGCACTTTTCTCTGCATACATTTCATCCTTCGTCGAAGCTAACATGTTATTGTCTTTTGGGTTTTCTTGTTTCCTTTCCTGTTTTAGTGTTTTTCTGTTTAACGACGCAGTGTATCCCGGAACCCTATATTTCGAGTTGAGTGCCTGAGAAAAATGTTTATGTGCGTTCGCACGCACGTTAAATATCGCGCAGCCATCCTAGGAAATGCTATTCTTCCAATTAAAATAGTACGATTTATTTCCGGCAGAGGCCGCTACACGGTTTAATGCTTTACCATAGGGGCTTTCCAGGCAAGATCAGTTTAGTTCTCGTCCCTGATTTGCCACGTATTCGTTAGACGTTTTTAGGAAAAAAGCATTAACAGGGAATCGACCAAGGAAAAAATCCATTATAATACAGGGTGTCCACTTATAAATTTTAATAGTTTACCACTCAAACACGTTTTGTATACATTCATTAGCGATGCTGTGTTAGAATTGATACAGCAGCAACATTATTATATGGTAATTATTAGGAGAAAAATCATGAAAAGCAATTCAAAACATTGAACAAAATCAAGAAAACTGTGTGAAGAAATGCTCTAACATGGATTTAATAATTTTGTTCGTCGTTTGGTGGTCGTCATATTCAGCAGTTTGCGTATTATGTATTTTGTGTATTAATTTATATTAGTACGTTTATTATGTATTTTATAAAATTACAGTATAGATAAATTATTGTTGTTGTTGCCTTTTTTTCTGAAATGGTAAATTTATACGTTCTTATAAAAGTATAAAACGGGAATATGACAAGTTAGTAAAAATTTAATTTAATTGAATGAAGACTTTTAAACCGCTTAAAAAGAACGGAAAGAAATGCCTATCGATTTTTACGTCAAGTCTTATTTCTTAGAATGGGGTAATTTTTGTTTGTCTCTATCTAGCATATGCCAAACAACAAAATGGTTGACTTGGTCATTGCTCATTTCACATTTCCACAGACATTTCACTGACACTTTATAATTATAATAATTTGGTGCACAATACAACTAATAGGACGTCATTAAAAATGTTAACTATGTTTATTAATTAAATGATAATTTCGGTCACGGGCCAGTAGGCGCCTTCTATGATTTCAAACTACAGATTTTTCAAAACTTAAATAGCGCGATATTTAGTAATTCTAAAATCGGTGTCTTTTCGGTAACAGCTGATATTCTTATTTATCTAAAAAACAAATTATGAAAGGTTTGTTTGACATAACTCGAACCAAAATTTGGAGAATTTGCTATCGACAGCTGTAGAAATCATGAATATCGGCAAGACATTTGAAAAGTTATTGTCAGGAACATCATCTCTTTCGAATCAATAACACTTGGTCGAGATCCGAGAATCCAATTAACTCTCCACTGCTAAGTACTTCGGCTTATAACGTGGTTTGTTGTACTTGTTTAAAAAAAAATGTTTGGTAGTATATTACTGTATAACCTATAATATCGTTTCTCTCTCTACCTGTTCATAATCGACTTAATTTAAAACAAAATTGCGTTTTATACCTGCTGCTATAATATGGAAGACGCAAGGCACCCTCTGTATGCCAATGTTGTTGGAAGCGTAACAAAGCAACGTTCCGTAGTCCAGCTCCGTGATTGGAGTATAAGAAACGACACTGGATGTTCCACTTTTCGCTATGTGGGATTGCGATACGTCAACCGAGTCCGCAGAATTATTGAAGGTCCATTTGAAATAAACCTTTAAAACATCAATTACGTAGATAATCCACCAAGCGACTAGAGAGCAAACAATATTTTAGGGCCATCTAAATTGGAAAAATTAATAAACGGATATCAGTTCTCTACCAGTTCTGATGCCTATTAAATAGACTTCTAAGTACATAAACAAAAAAAGCAATTTGTGTAAGTAGTATGTAGTTACAAGGTCATTTAAAAGAAAGCCAAATATGTAATGTACAGCATGTGCGACTCAAAAAGGAAATTAATGCATTTAATTAGTCACTACTTCCTCCGTGCAAATTTGTTAATATTTTGCTACAATATTTTCTTGAGAGGAGTTTAGAAAATATTTAGAATTCGACTGCAGAAAAATAAACATAAAGGATTTTAAAGAACTAATTATTTTATGTCGCTAAACCAATTAAAAACGAAAAAGGACGACTTGAGAACAATTGTAAACACGCCTCTAAGAGAAAATCGAGTCATATTTATCCTTAAAGTGTCATTTTTCCCTTTGTTCTGTTTTTTTTTACGATTTAATTTACCTACCTCTGGAGGATTGGCGTCGACCTGGCAAACAATCTCCGCCCTTTCTTGTTTAGCTACACCATAAATTCTGGTCTGGTCTGGTTTACAGGTGGGGGCGTCTGAAATAATTCCGAATTAAAAAGTTTTTCGATAAAAAGTTTGCAACATTTGTTTTTTTTGTTGTAATTGCTGTAGCAATTTGTTGTGGGACATTACTACCCTAAGTTAAAAAATATATTTATTATATACGAGCTGAACTTTTTTGGAAAGATGATAAACCAGTAGCATAAGTGGGTAGCTGAGTTTACAGTCCACTGAAAATATAATTTCCAATAAACCGAGTTACTTGCAGTTAGTCCACAATTTTCAAATTGTGGTTTTGCTCCGGTGCTCAGATTAGTACTCCTTTAGTACTTACACAAAACATTCAAATAAAACGCGTTACTTTCTCCATCTCCTTCTGTGTTGTACCCCACGCATGTGTAGTTACCAGCTGTTGCTCTAGAAACGCTTTGCAAAACCAAGCTTTGATTACTGATTATCACTCCGGCGTTCACATTGATGTTCAGCGGTTTTCCCTAAGAACAAAAAGTAATATAAATTGATAAGCAATAAACTATGTGTTTTCTATAGGTTTACCAAATCAAAACCTGAAAAAACTCTTCTTAGTGGAATAGTAAAACTTAATAATACGTGGGCGTAAAAATAATATAATAAAGTTTTTCCAATAATTTTTTGTAATTTATGTTCGTCTGTTTCTTTCTCTATGGTGAATCAATCATATAATCTAATGGTCAGTTTCCTTCGGAAGATCATCAAGATCCGGCGTCAACAGTGCATATATTTTCAATATCTTGTTTGCCAGAAACGAAGAAAAATAAAACTTTCTGACATTTACGAATGTATCAGATTTCATACTGTCGTACAAAAAAGTCATTCCAATTAATTCTAATTTTTATATTATTCAATCACTTAAGATTGAGTGATATGGTGCAATTGCATGTTAAATCTATTGTTTCAGTTTTGTAATGATGTGTAGTAATTTCGCATTCTTCTTTAAAAAACAAGTTCATATGACTATTCTTAAATGGTGTAGGCGGGTACAAAGTGTCAAAAAAAAACGCACATCAATTTTTCAAAAAGCTCATTTAACACCGCTCCGAACTGAAAGTAAGCCCCATCCCAATCCAGAATACTGATTTTCGTCATTTCATATTTTAAGCCAACTACACGGTGACAAATAGATTGACAATAGCCTGACGTGTTTGATTTAAAGGTACAATGGTCTATGCAGTTGGTGCTTTAGTGTTATTGCGGAGCCGCCAGCTTCACTTAAATCGAAATACGGAAAGCATGAAAGTTGACAGCATCAATAAATTGTCACAAAGTTTTCGCAATGTCTTCAGTGACGTGTTTCCGAAATGACTTAAGGCCTATCAGCATTGGTCGCTAACTAAGATCCGACTCCAAATATAATTATGTTTAACATGAAAATCTATACAGGGTGAGTGAAATTTTGTTCCCAAAACACAGACTATCAAAACTATAAGCTTTACCTCTATCTCTTTTTCAATTTGATACACCGTCTAATATTTTTGAATATCTAAAGGATAATTCTGACCTTTTTTGGGAGAACTTTATTTTTGATACTCGAACAAATAAAATAGTTGCGGATTTTAGTATAAGCTACTCAAGAAATTTTGATAGATTTCAAAGAACTCAAATATTGCTTTCACATTGTGTGGATTGAGAAATAACTTTCGCACCTCTTCTGGAACGAAAATGACAGAACTTTAATCAACAAACTTTCAATTAATAAAGCGATTAAGCTTATAATCGCGTCAGAGTGGAGTTAATTAAACTTCAGGTAAGTGATACAACTTTTTATCATATAAATGAAGCTTGGAGCAAGCAATATCGAATCGAACTTTGACCTTTAAAAAAATGCTCAGTATCTTCGTCGCCCGCGAACATCATTTTTTGAACGACTTTGTAAATAAAAACTTGTTTTGTACCTATCCGCTTAAAAAATACAACAAAAATAACGGAATACGAAAGGAATAGTAATCATTATGTAACTTGGTAACAAAAGTAAGTGTGAGTTAAAAATTCGATACGTGAGTTTTTTAAAAACAACTTTATTCGGTCACTGGGACCTTACAATTGTGCGATACAACATAAGAGTCTGAAAAATATTACGGGCGCTCATATTTATATATATTAAAAGTGATTTTACAGTACAGAGATTAATAAATACAATATAGTCATTTATAGGCATATAATTCCCACAGACTTAGCGATAGGGAAACTGGTCTTCTCTCGGCATCTTCTTGTCTTCTTTGTTTATCCTTTTCTTCTAAGGAAACTTTGTTATTATTTTTCTGCTTTTTAAATATCTGTTTATAAGAGCTTATTTTAAAACATTTTGTTAATATTAAATAAAGTCCAATGATAAATAAAAGCACGTATAAAAGCACTGTATATATACTAGTTTCATAGAGTTTTAAATTTCTGGTAAATAATTCTTCGACTTCTTGTTTTTGTACGTCGAGAGCTTGGTAGATATTTCGGACTTCATCCAGGTTGACTTCGTCGATCTTGGATTGATTCACATTTCCTTTTCTTGCGTCTAAGTACGATGAAATTGGTATCGAGGGCAGTTCCAATTTTTTGAATTTTAGGTTCAGGTCTTCATAGGACTTCAGTATCATATTTCATACACATTGATTATTTACTTCCACTACGTACGTTTCGTTAATAGAAATATTTTCTCTAAAGTTGTCACATTTTTTAGTTATTACGAATTTTTCCGGTGTGATCAGGATCCACTGGTTCTTTTCCAATTTCTGTATCTTGATATTATTTATCAGAGTAGGCACAGGTGTACAGTTAGTAGCGTTTACCACATATTTTAAAAGTTGTATTACACAAGGCATATTTTCTTCTATTATGGTTGACATTTGTAGATCTTCACATATAAATATATAAATTCTTCTGTTACAATATCGTTACATTTTTCATAAAAGAATACATAGTTTTGCTCGTTTAGAATAAGAAACTTTGAACGTGGTACGATAGTTTCAAACATATTAATTTTCGGGGTAGGTAAGGAATATAAGTGGTAGTAGTCATACGTTTTCTTTTCTACGATAGGTAGGTATTTATATAATAAAGATAATTTTATTTTTCTTAGAGTAACTTTTAACATTCATAATTTTTTCAAAATATAGGATATTTTTAAGGTTAATTTCAAAAGGGAATTTATTTCCTTCAATTTCTTTACTAGCTTTTTGAATTTCTAATAGTAGATAAGTTGGTTCAGTAATGGAATTATGAAATGTATTTAGTTTAGCAAAACTAATTGCTACTTCCTTCTAGGGTATCAAAAATTTTTTGGATGCTAGAAACATATTTTACTATTAACGTTTCCATTCGCAAATGGTGAAAGTACTTATTTATTCCTTTTATCCCTTCTTGTAATTCCTTGATTTGATTTTTATTAATAGTTCCTGTAATATTATTAAATTCTGTAATCGATTTTGTCAAAATTGTTATTTGGTTAATCACTGCCTTTTTAATTTTAGTTTGGTTTTCCGTCAACATATTAATAGCCATATTAATAACCTTTCAGTATCGTTTTGGCCAAGGTTGCTTTATTGCAATTATTGCTTTTATAAACGATCCCAGTCCATTAACAATGCCTCTTTTATTTCTTATATTCAAAAGTGGGTTAAGTTGGGACAGTTGAATCGTTATTTTACTTATCAGAACGTCAGCGAGTTGGAAGGTTGTCTGTATCCTTTAGATTTGGGTCAGTAATATTACCAAAAGTTTTCTTGGTTTGCAAATAATTAAATATTAATTTCGAAAATTCTATAAATTTCGTAATATCAAATATTTGTATAAAATTCCAAGAGTTAACTTTATTTTGTACATTTCCTGTTTTAAGGGGTAGTAGTCCAGGATTATTATTTAAATTATGAAATTGTGGTTCCTCTAATCTTTTCCGATAATGTAGACGCTAAATCTGAAACAATAGGTTCATTTTTTGATGGTTTCTTTAATTCTTCAATGTGAATAATTTCTTTTTTATTTTTATTTTGTTTATTAGGTATTTCTACTCTATTTCTTTGGAGTAAATTACGAATGAGCCAAGAAATTTATTTAGTTTTTTATTTCTAACTTTGCTATTTTGTTTGTAAACCGTTTGACCTAATTTAAATTCATTGTTTTCATCATCTTTTGTATTGTGTTTTTCTACCGTTTTAATTTTTTTATCATCTAATTTTTCGGTAACTTTTTGGTATACGTGTTTCAATCGTTCTTTATGTTTTGAGCATAATCTGTATAGAAAGACTAGGGTACAAATATTTCATTGGGCGCTCTGCGTGACCAAAAGTTAATTCAAAAGGTGTGTATGAATAGTATTATTATATGCGATAATAGCTTAATCCATTAAATCATTTTTGTCATCTTTTAAAGTAAGCCAAGATCGATATGTTGTCTCTGTTCCTCATGGATAATCACTTCGATGTGGTATGTATGTCTGAGCATCATGTAAATAGTGAAGACGTTCTAAAAAGTGTAAATCTTGAAAATTTCATCTTGCAGAGTTACTACTGGAGGAAAAGCACCACCGAAGGTAGCTGTGCCATATATGTAAAAAATAATATTAAGTGTGAAGCATTAGATCTTGATAAATATTGTGTAGATTGGCATGCCGAATTCTGCGGTATTGTGTTCCCTATGATCGATATAATGGATATAATTGTTTATCGTTCTGGTTCAAAGGGCGTTTTTAATACCTTTTGCAAACATACATCCTTTCGGCCAAACACGAATTTTAGATCAACATATGTTTTATTATCTACCTATCTATATTTACGTTTTCTGTTAAATTTTAGATTCCATCGTTTTTACACTTTATAATTGATGTATTGTATTGTATATATTGTCATAATGCTTTTACGCATGGAATTTTGCTATTTTTCTATTTTAAGACTGTGTTAATACGATTTATTTATCCGCAACCACAAGTTGTCAGCGTAAATCTTTCTTTCTTTTTTTGTACTACTGACGCGCCATTTGTTGTAAAGACTTTTTATGTAAAAAATGGCTAAATAAATCTTTCTACTATCTGTCTTAAAATTCGTAAATGTTCTATAAGTGAAGAATGCAATCTTTCGATAAGGGAATTAGATTCGTGATGGTTTATTGTAGTAAAATGAGGGTTAAGTTGTGTTTTAAGTATTTATTTAACTACTTCATTATTGAATTCCGTTCCTCTGTCGAACGTTATAGTTTGGGGTTACACCAAATGCTGTGAAATATTTTATTGGTGCATTACTAACATGAATTGCTGTTTGGGCTTCTATAAATATGCTTGTCCTACTTTAGTAAAAGGGTCTATTATTGTTAAATAATTTCTACCGTCGAATATAAAAATGTCTGCGTGAACCTTTTGAAATGGTCTTCTAGGTGTTTCAGTTATCATTATTGGGACATAAGGGCTTTTTCTTGAATATTTTGCACGTTGGCAAATGTCGCCGTTGTCAATATAATTTGTGATTGTTAATTTCATGTTTTCCCAATATTAAATCTTTTGTAAATATTCTTGAGTATCGTTAATTCCGCAATGGTTTGTTTTACCTTCGTGATGATATTTTATTAATAATATTTGTTCTTCTTTGTCATTGTATTTACTCTTTTCGTACACTGAATGAATTTTGGGCCTTTTTCTGAAAAATGTTTTAGATATGTTTTGCAAAAATCATTATATAATTGATCTGTTTGGAAATAAACCGAATAAACTATTTTAGAGTCGGTATATTCTTTTGAACATTTTAAAATGAGTTCCTCATTGTTAATAACTGGTATTGTAATTAATATTTTTTTATGATTTTCATATGTTTCCCTAGTTACTTCCAATTTATGATGTACATTTACTGAGACAACAATTTGGTTTACTTTGTTGTTAATAAATAATTTCGTCGTATATTTTAATTCCTTAATTTGTTGTTTTGCAGTGGTATGTTGAGTAGAACATTAGTTAGGTCCTTTTAAAGTAATACAGGATATTTTACCGAATTTTGGATTTTGTTTTTTGTTTTTAGAATTTATTGACAGGTTTTCATTATTTTGCGCATTACGTTGCCATGAAGATAAGGGTTCAATCGTGTTTGCGAAATCTCTAAGAAAGTCTAAAATTTTTTGATCAGTATCACCTGGATTACTTTTTACTTTAATTATCGATGGACGATCGGCGTTACAATTAAATTTTCTTTTTTATATATTACTTCAAAGTCAAATTCTTCTAATTTTATTTTCCAGCGTACAAGTTTTGAATTTGGTTCTTTAAGATTTGTTAACCATACTAAAGGTTTATGGTCGGTATAAATATAAAATTTCCTACGAAATAAATATGGTCTCAAATGTTTACAAGCCCAATAGCCTACTAGCTTTTTTTTAATGGTCGAATATTTAGTTTCGCTTTCATTAAGGGTACGAGATGCATATGCTATTGGACGATTGTTTGGCACAGTACCTTGGGATAATATGGCTCCAAGTGCAAAATCACTAGCATCTGTAGTAAGGATAAATGGTTTTGAAAAATCAGAATATTGTAATATTGGATCATTAGTTAATAAATTTTTACAGGTTCCGAAGCCTTCTTGAAATTCTTTATCATGAATGACTTTTGCGTTCTTTTTAAGACATTTAGTTAATGGTTTTGTTATTTTAGAGAAATCTTTGAGGAATTTTCGATAGTATCCTAACAGTCTTAAAAGTTGTTTGATTTCAATTTGGGTTTTTGGTAATGGAATTTTTTTTATAACTTTTATTTTATTTATATAACTAATCCCCATTTCTTTTTTCCGCTAGCATCTAATTTTTTTGGAACTATCCAAATTGGACCATGGTGAAAAGCTTTCTTGAATTATTCCTTGATTTAGCATATTACAAATTTGTGTTTTTACTTCTTGTTTATGAATTCCGGGAGAACGGTATGTTTTTGTAGAAATTGGGGTTTCATTTTTTAATTTAATTTTATGAATTATTTGATTATTAAAACTTAATGGCATTCCCTCACAATAAAAAACACCTCTATATTCATAACAGATTTTCTTAATTGCGTCTTTTTCTTCTTGGTTACAATTACTGATTCTAATGTTTTTTAAATTTTGTTTTAAGAGAGTGTCTTGTTCAGTGGTTATTTTTTGATAGTCGCAAATCGATTTTCTCACACATATTTACCTCTAATACGTTTACTTTTTACAAAACTTCTGGATTCCTCCTGCGTCGGTTTTTGCTGAGTCGAAACTTCCACATGCTGTTGGCTTCTTCAGAGCTTGACTGAAACTGTTTCACGACGCAGTTTTTTTGAAAAAACTCTAATACGTTTGTTAGTTCAACTTCGATTGGTTTAGAGAAATGAATTCTCGTAGGGGTCTCATTTTTATTTAAAACGCAGGTTATAGCAAAATTATTTGATATGTTATGAAAGTATTTGGTTTGTTAATAAAATTAGGGTTTCGCAATACTCCCTTGAGTAAAATTTGGTCTTTGGGATAAGCTATATGGTAAATTCATAGGAGTGCCCTATTTTGAAAAAGTGGCGGTCTTTGTTGAAATAGAATCGGATTATTAAATTGGAGAGGTTTTTGGAAAATGTTTTGTTGAGTATTCGTAAATGATCTCATAGGAAAAGTTGGTCTTTGCTGTAATATGTTTGATCTTTGAAAAATGTTTGGTTTTTGTGGAAAAGTTTGCAGTTTATGTATAGACATAGGAATTTGTTTTTCCTGTGCTTCGGTTTCGAATTCATCTATGGGAATTGTGTTTAATTTCATCAAAAGCAGACTTCTTGAATCTTGACAACGCATTCCGAAATTATAGGGCGATTCATCTCTGCGTGGGGATAAATTTATTAAATCTTGAATAAGGCAATCAATATTACGATGGTCTCCGAATGTTAGATTTAATAAATCTTTTATTTCGTTCCAAGTTTTTAAATCTGTACGTTAACCGATTCGAATTAAAGCTCTATCTTTCAATTTTGACAATAACGCTCTACAAATAAAATTACTAAGGGCCGTAGTTGTATGGGGATGATTAGTAATGAATTCTAAGATCAAGCTATCACAAGCGGATAGGAAAATGCTGAGAGTATGTGGATTTCCGTCATAAAAAGAAATAGATTCTAAGTATAGTCTCAAAAGTTGATAGTCTGCGGGTGGTATGTTTGTTTCGAATAATTTGTCAATATCGCTGTCTGGTAAATTTGGCAAATTTTCGTTTTCGTTTTCGAATTGTAAACTCATAAAATTTTACGTATGTTTTGTTTGTATGTTTACGTAGAGTTTTGAAAATCATATAACTACTAACACTTAAAATAGCGCTTAAAATATTTGGGAAAGGGTTGACTAATTTTTTTTAAAGGGATTTACGAGCTAAAACTTACAGTAAAATGGTTTACATGTTCTGTTTCTTGATTGTTGATTCTTTGTTTTCTCTTTTTTTTTAACGCTACGGTGCCTACAGGATCGAACGATTTTTGTTCTTTCCCAGGTCTTCCTATTCTAGCAGCAACTCGAATTATCGTTTCCTCTGCCTCTGCGTAGTGTCCTTTTTAGAAAGTTCTTCGTTTCACGATCCGATGGTCCCTCGAACCGTTACACTACTTTGAAGGTGAATTTCCCGATTGACCGTTGACACGGAATTTAAATGTTCGATACACTTAACTCAGCAAAAATCCTAACGACTGCGCCAGTTAAAGGTTCGATACGCAGAGTGAGTTTTTTAAAAACAACTTTATTCGGTCATTGGAACCTTGCAATTGTGCGATACAACATAAGAGTCTGACAAATGTTAGGGGCGCTCATATTTATATATTAAAAGTGATTATACAGCACAGAGATTAATAAACACAATATAGTCATTTATAGGCATATAACTTGTGGGATTTTTAATCAGCTGCTTAATACGGTAATATATTTTTTCTTCTCCCTTCTGTAAAATACCTAATTATACACTGATTTAGCGTGTCGATATTAACAGACAACTTCTAAATAGTTGCAACAAATTAAATTCATTCGATGAAAAGAGCTATTCGACAATGACATTTTTCAACTGTAATTTATTCAAAACGAACCAGATTAGTATTTTAAAAAATTATTACTAATTGTATCGAGACAAAACAGACTATTTCACCATAATCGGTACCGGCAAAAAAATGTTCAGAACACTTACGTTATGCCTCCATTCCACTTTATAAACGGAAGGGTGCGCGTTTATGATGCAGTCAAAGTAAATGTCTGTCCCTTCCCTGACTGCATCGGGGTTTAGGGAAGTCCCTAGGATAATCCTCGCCTCTGGGGTATCTGCAACAAGGATTCCTTACATTATCTTAAAAGTCTTTCGCTCTTCGCATAGTCCTGAAACTAAAGATAAATTGTGAGGAACAACGCTCCATTCTACATCAAATTAGCTATAATTAGTTATAAAGTGATTACTTAAACACGGACGCGATTTCTAATATAATGCATAGAATGTCCCATTTTCGATATGTTCCTGTGGGGAACTACATTATTATTGAATATAAAAAGGTGCATATTGCACATTACTATCTTATTTTTGAAAATGAAAAATGGGAACAGATCTTAAATATCTCCGCAGTTTCTGAGCTACGAGGTAAGATTGAAATCTGATTTCGTAGCTTTGTTTTTCAGTACCGCCATCAGTGTCAGGATCTGTACTATGGCACTGATATTTGTTCGCATAATTCGTAACCGATTTCAGTACGTATACCATAAGTCAGGGCCGTATTTAAGATGTCAGCCGACAAGAATTGTGCCTTGCGGACTGTTGTATTTTAAGAGTAGAGAAATTTTCTTTGATAACCTATTATATTAATTCATATTATTCTTTTATAAATCTTCCTAAAACAGTCCCTGCTTGAGGTAGCTCGATTTCCAGTTGAATTTTCCCATTAGATAGATTGATATTAAAAACATATTAGAAATAATGACTAAAATATTTTCTAAAGCAATATAAAATCTTCAGTAGATAAGATTTTTAGTGAATGTTTTTTCAGTTTGCTATTGGTTGGTTTGTATGGGTTGGTGGGATTATGCGTCAGTTTTATGACACAGAATTTTCTTAGCCGTCGAAGCTTTGGAGTTATTGCTATTCCGTCTTGCCTTTTTAATTAGTAATTACCAACTCACTGTTATTCAATTGTTTTTTAAGACTCAGTGTGCTATTTTTAATTAAGGTACCATATACATTTTATGTCAATTTATTTCTTACCAAATACTAACATTATTCAACTCGGACACATTTGCTGGTTGATGCCAAAATTATTATTTTAAATGTGTTTCTGTTTCTGAAATCAACTTCTGGGGAATACGAAGCCATAAAATTAACGTCCGAGATTACTAAAATACCATACGCCACAGTACGTGACATAGTTGTGAATGGTGTCCAAGAGAGAAAAATGTGGAAATATCGTGGGGTCCCAAAAAGTCACATGCACTATGCCGGAATAGTGAGACGGTTGACATATGATGCCTATCAGAAGAATATTCTTTTAACAATACGTAGTGTTTTGAACATTAACTGTTGCCAAGAGAATTGGTTTTTATTACAAAACCATCAATAAGAGACAAGTTTTGCTGGAATCAAGAAGAATTTCGGAATAGAGGACAAGATATTTGAGAGAAATCCAAGAAATTCGAGCTAAAAACGTCCCCATCATATATTTAGATGAGACCTGGTTTGATAGCCACAATACCTTCAAGAAAGGATGGACTGAATGTAACAGCAGGAAATGTTCACTGGATGTGCCTTTTGCTACATGCGGGCTCTGAAGCTGGTTGAGTAGATAACGCTTTGTTGCTTTCTGCAAAAAATTATCAAAAAAACGAACGGAAAAAATACCGAATTCATCATAAACTAAAGAAGTAATTCAAACTTTGTACTTGAAAATGATATCTATTTTGAAAATTTGAAAGTATAATGTGGACAGTCATGGAGCGTAATTTTAAGAAATTTAAGAGGAAACAACACCTCTCCGAAATTTAGTTCGGCGGCAATAGAATTAATTAGAAGTAAAGTATAAAAAATATCTGCTTCTAGTTAGAAAAAAAGAAAATGTTTACAGAAGTCGACTAGTGCCAGAATTAATTATTAATGTGGAGGATGAGTCCACTCATGCTAGTGATTATTTTGATGCAGAATAACTTTTTTTATATAAATATTCTAGCATTGTTTTATGACTAAACTTACTCCCTCATTTATATTTATAATAAGCATTTTAAAATCAGTATAAATTTTTGCACTGCATGGACTAATAATAATCGACGAATCTCACCGATGTAACTCTACAGAAATCCGTCAGCTTTCAGCATTTGTATGGACGAAGTACCGAAGTACGGTTCTAGAACGTCATTGTGGAAATGCGAATCTATTTATTGAGGGTTACAAAGTGAAACCAAAGCGAGGTAGACCTGTAGTTACACCTTTATAAAAATTTACCAAAGTTAAATACCGGATTATATCGTAAAAATGGTATATCGTTAGGTGAACTATAAAAGAAAGGGTTTTCCAGCAGCTGAGATTTTATATTTTATTAATACAACTCATTAAATTCATAGTTAAGATCTGGACAATTTCTTTTGGTTTTAGCAAGTCCTTGTGGTCTAAATCTGTAATGTTACACACCACACAATTTTGTATGTATTTATATTTAGTTTATGTATGTTGTTTTCAGCTGACAAACAATTATTTATCTGCATTGCTGATAATAAATTAATATAAATAAATTATTATTATTATATAAATTTCTGTGGGTAACAATGAAACTATTTAAACCATAAAATGATATTTTTTGTGAATATCTGAACATAATTCAACATATAATAAAAAATTATTTTGGATAGCAGAAATTACAAAATCATAGAAAATATAGCAAGGTTATATTAACAAAAATCTAAAAGAAGATATTTTTAAGTTAATGGGAAAGAGGAATTATTTTTACTTCCACGCTTAGGAAAAGCTCTGTATAATACCCAGAATTCAATGTGTCCAGAATATTCACACAATACATGTCTGTGGTATATTTCTTTGCACTTGTTTACACACAATGTGAAAAAAGAACCGCAATTTACAACTGTCTTCATTCGGATATAAATTCGTATCTTCAAAAATACATATCTTTTTCTTCCTGAAAACATAGTAATATTACAACAGCTGAACTTCTTAAGCTGTGGCAGCCCTATCTACGACACTTTTTTGTAGTAAATTAAAATAAGCCTTTTGATTTTTCGATATAAAAAATATGTTTGTGTAAAAAGTTTACCGAACGTGTTTTTCGACGACAATTAATTTTTGGGTACATTTTTGCAAAACAACACGAATACGTTTACTGACATGAAATAGTCAGAGTTTTGATTTAATCGTTTTGTAACTGTTTCGCTAGAGTGTGACAATGCATTACACGAAAATATTTAGAGAGAATATTCATTTTAAAAAAGACTTTTGAAGAAGTCCTTTACTCAATTCATCACATAATCTTCTACCCAACAATTATTACCATTTAATTATTTAATACAACAAATGTGGTAAACGGCATTTGAGTCACGAGTTTATTTGGCTCAGCGGAATTAGTGTTTAATAAACGAGTGACTTAAAAACTTCACCTAATGTGTTGCATACTATACTTTTTCTACAACCGTTAGTTTTGGGTATAAAACTCAAAATTCATGCCGTGCGGTAAAATCTCGGAAAACATCCGATTGCTCCCACACCCGTGCGGTAATATCTCAGAAATGTCCAAAGTGACTCGGATCCGTGAGACCAGAAACTCACGCGGTAAAGTGACACTTTTCGCACGCCAAATCGGTGTAGAAATATGTATTTTTTAAGATATCAATTTCGTTACCTAATGGCAGTGATTACCCACGGCTTGTCTTTTGATCTTTGTTAATTCTGACGTAAGGACTCGCTTCGCTGCGCTCCTCTACTGGCAAAACAAAACTCGTGACATAAATGGCGTTGACTAAACTTGTTGCATAATATGCTATTATTTAAACACCGTTGGTTTGTTGGGATAATATTTTATGAATACTTTCTAAAACTTTTAGTTTTAGAATTTTCAATTAATACGATCGAAAAATTATAACGTAAGCAAAACATCATTTTTTGGTTAAATATTTAGATAATTTGTTGTTATTATTCGTGGAGTGATCTGGATAACAATAAATAAAAGAAAAATGGGACATGATGAAATTAATTTAATCGGTTTCGATAAATGCGTTGCCGCATTATCGAAAGAATTCCCAAAATAATAGCTTACCTAAAATGATATTCGAACTGCCATCAATAAATTCCCCATAAAATTATTTATCGTTATTACAATGTATAAAATTGTGAAAAATGAAACTCAATTTATAAAGGGATTGCGATTGTCACGCTTTATTCCATTTGAAACATATACGTTTCCATAAAAATTGTAATAGAGAGATTCCGTTTAAAATATTTTTCCTATTTGTAGAATGTGTAATACATTGGTATATCGCAATAGCACTATATTTGTGTACAGGATTGTTACCGAACACAGCTATTTTCATTTAGATTTTTCCGACACCAAATTGATCTGCAACAACTTGATATTTCGTTTTACGTATCAGTTGACTGACTGTTTAAAAGCTAACATTTAAAAAACTATAAACATTTACACAACTTGTTAACGCAATTTTTGGTAATAATTTAAGACTGATGTCAACGCGTTTGCGAGAAGTATCACTTTAAATGGCCAAATGGAACTCAAAAGCGTATGTGCTTGGCAACGAAACATATCTCGGAAAAGGTGCGTCGTACCGCGTCGCCGTTGGTACAGATGGAATCAGCGTCGAAAGAAAACGTTTTCATTTTTTTGTCTGCTTGTCCGTTCTCTGTTTTCTGATATCTGTTCTCTGCTTCTTTGTAGACGCGGCATTAAATAGCCGACATTAACTTTCGAAGGGTTTGACCTGTGGAGTTCAAATTTAGCCCCCATGAGACACAGCGACGCGATCAGCATGCGGCGACCATCTTTTCTTTTTAAGATTTCGGTCATTTACTATTACGGCGTACTGCCTAGTTTCAGAAAAGAATTATTTTCTCGAAAGCCATTCACCCTATTGAAAAAATTCATGGACCAGGAAACGTGGAAGATCCAGGGCTATAACCTCTACCCTTAGTATGTTTTCTATAATGTACAGGGTGTGTCTGTAATAGGCAAAAAAATGAAAAGACCCTGAAAATTGCTGTTTTCGTGGATAAGTTATTAGCCGTAAATTAAAAACTAGAAAACATGGGATATTTGGTTTAAACAGTATCA